CTATAGGATTAGCACTGGACTACTAATCACAAGGTTGGGCAGTTTAAACCCCACCATTGGCTCCTCGGAAACCCTATACAGGTTTTCTCTGAGTTGGTACTTAACAATATTATACACACACACACATTTACATGAGATAAGCACTGGACTGCTACCCACAAGTTGGTGGTTCCAACTAACCAGGCATTCTGAGGGAGAAAGATAAGGCTTTCTGCTTTCACAAAGATATACAGCCCCAGAAATGCTGTCATTATGAGTTGGAACTGATCCAATGGTACTTACTTTGTATTATTGTTAAGCAGCGTCAAGTCAGTTTTGACTCAGAACAACCCTGTCTAGGGTTTCTGAAGAGCGGTTGTGTGTTTTAACCTCCAAGACCTTGCAGTCTAGTGCTTATCCTACTGTGCCACACCAGAACTCCATATATTTAAAGATCACTGCATCTGAGAGGCTCTATCTTCCAAAGACTTTCCTAAATGCTTCCTTTACATCCTTGTTCCTCAGGCTGTAAATGTAAGGGTTCATCATAGGTGTTATGATTGAGTAGAACACAGAGATCACTTTATCCCTTCCACTCATTTTTTTGGCGTTTGGCCTCATATAGGTGAATATTGTTGATCCGTAGAAGAAGACAACCACAATGAGATGTGAGCCACAGGTGGAGAAGACCTTGAACCTTCCCTCCCCTGACTGTATCTGCATCACAGTGGACAGAATATTCCAGTAGGAGAAAAGGATGAGGGAGACAGGTGCTAGGAGAATCACTACACCCATTGAAAAGAGAGCCATCTCAGCTTTGTTGGTGTCTGCAGAAGTCAGCTTCAGAAGTGCAGGAGGTTCACAAAAATAATGATTAATCACATTTTGTCCCTGGTATGGGAGACACAAAGTAAATGTGGTATCTACCAGAGACACAAATGCCCCACTGGCCCAGGACACTGTGGCCAACTGGATACAAACTCTTTGGGTCATGGTGGTGGAATAGTGTAGGGGCTTGCAGACAGCCACATAGCGGTCATAAGACATCACTGCCAAAAGTGAACTCTCAGTAGCCCCAGATACTAAGAAGAAAAACATCTGAATTGAGCATCCAGCAAAGGAAATGGTCTTTCTCATAACCAAGAAGTGGAATAGCATCTGAGGAACAATGCTTGTAGAGAAACAGAGGTCAGCAAGAGACAGATTTTTAAGGAAAAAGTACATGGGAGTGTGAAGTCGAGAGTCCACGTTGATTAGGATTATGATGAGCAGATTCCCAAGAGCAGTTAGTAGATAGATGATGAGAAATACCACAAACAGCAGGATCTGAGTCTGCGGATCTGAAGAAAGCCCAAGCAAGATGAATTCAGTCAAATAGGTTTGGTTTTCTTTGCCCATTAATGGTTATTCCTGCGTACACATCAGTATTAACAGAGCAATCAAACGTTGACTATGCTCCAGCAGCAAATCCTAAAACTGAATTTTTTTAAACTTAAAAAAAAAATCTTGCAATCATTTAAGACACTGACTTTCTAAAATTTCCTTACATTCATATAGAAGCCATCCGATTGGTAGGCACATCAACACCAGAAATGTGCTCTCCTACTGAGGATTGCTGTCACAATGCTGTCAACCAGAAAAGGTTAAAAAATGTCTTCATAGAAAATTGCATGTTGCCTATCTGAACTGAAACAGGATGCTAACATATTATATGTGCTATCAAATAAAAAAGTAGTTTTTTTGTTAGAAAGACAAGGTTGTTGTTTTTTTTCTGTTGGCTTTTTTTTTCTCCTGAACAGGGTCGCTAGGAGTCAGAAACCGACTCCACAGCACATAACCACCACCACCAATTTACTTTGCAATCAGCAGGCTTTAGCTTTTATGTCATTAAAAATTAGAGGTTTTTCTGTCCTGTTTCAAAGTGATTCTTTACTTTCTTTCTTTACTCTTCAAAGGAGGCTATTTGAAGAGACCATTTTAGATCATGATATGGTCTAAATACAGATGTAATCCACAGTACTAGTCCTTTCACCAATTTTGTCACTGGATTGGAGTCAAAACTTCCTAGAAGTGTCCAGGAATAAGTCATGATAGGACCCCATCATTATGAAGCCAGCAGGATGTGGAAGATGCAGACTCTGGCAGCTTTGCACACTATGGTTTGGAGGAGTCCTTCATAGGGACCCAGTGGCTGTAACAGCTCTCTGCATAGTTGCAATGTCTTATGGTATAATAGTATTTGACTTCATTTATGCTACAGTTTGCATCAGAATATGTAGTCTGTTTGATGGGTATAGCTGTGGGAAATCAGGCACTGGTCCAATTCTCTGAATTCAGGCTGGGAACATTATTCAAAACCTACACATTGATGTTCATCAGTGAAATATAAGGACAAAGATGACTGGATCAAAACTAAAGGAAAAATAGATTATAATGAGTTAGGGAGGGTAGCAGGGTCACAGGCAAATGGTTGGAGCTCAGAGCAGTCTAATATCCCTTGGGAAGAACTCAAGTGCTAATTCCAGAACCGACAGCTACAAAAGAGGGAGGAAAACAAAGCAGAAACGCAGCTATTTTGGCAGGACCATCTTGGGATAGGGGACATCAAAGAGCACAAACATATAAAGGTTTCTTCTCTCACATAAGACCCTATGTCTAGTTGGCTGTAGAGGAGAAGAGTGTACAAAGCAATTGTATCTGGACCATGGGTTCATGAGTCACCAGATGTGCCTCAATTTTAAGCTAACTTGGGGAGAAAAACATTCTATTCATATATTTCCATTTATATTGGATCTGGAACTGGGTCCAATCTGAACTTACAAGAATGTCCATTGTCACTGAGGGACCAGAAACCCTTTAAGAAACTAGTATAATCAAAGTCCTTTACTTCAGTGTGTAGATAATACACAGAGGATTGGTGAAAATTTTTGACATCAAGTCAGAATGAGCTAGTCTTAAAAGTCAGAGCTTCGAAAATTGGTTCTAACACATTAATGAGTAATTAAATAGATTTTTAAAAACTTAAATAGGAAAACACAATTTCTTATAGTAATAAATATTGTTTCAAGAAAACAATTGTTTTAATTGTATAAAAGTGTATGTGTAAGTGTTTCTATGTGTGTGCTGGGTTACAATATAGATTGTGTCTGTTATTGAGGGTCATTGTCAAATATTTGAAAAAGAAAAGCTGTATAAGTTAAAAGTTCTTAATGTCCAAGGACTTTAGTAAAATAATAGACTATCAGTCCCACTTTCCAACAATTATAATGTGCATTTTTTACTTCTTTTTCCATGCAATGAATTGTACATATTGCATACATACAATTTAAAGAGTTTTGATATAAATATTATAATGCCCTTTTAAAAGTACTTGTTCAATTATATATTGTTATTTGTTTATAAGTCTGTTTATCTGACAAAACAATGAGCTTCTTCAGGGTAATAACCCTATCTCATTCTACATGTTGTTGCTGTTGTTAGTTATTGTGGGGTCAATTGCAACTCATGGCAACCCTGACATACCCCGGCATATAATATAATAATTACAAAACGTGTTCGCTGGTTGGATGAATGAATGAATGCATCCAGGAATTAATGAATGAACTACACACACATGCACATACTTGCATGCACAGCCACTATCATCACATGCACACAAACTTTCCTAAGCACTAATAATCCTCTCTCAAGTGGAGTATGACGGTTGGAAGGTACAGCTAATATTGGGCCATGTAGGTGATCTCCTTGGAATGGGCAGATTTCAGGACAAAGCAAATGGAAAAACACAAGATGGGTGTGATCATCTGCGCCACTGGTGCAGGTAGGAGGGCATCACTGGTTGTTCTTTTAATGGGAAAAGGTCCTCAATTTTTAACCCCTTTTCTTCCCATTCTGAGCTCCAGAGAGGGTATTTCCAAGGTGGTAACAACCAGAATACTAGGGCACTGGAACACTAAACTCTCATTCATCTCTGACTCTTTCCTACCTCCCAAGTACTAGATGACAAAGTGCAACAAGCTCCCTCTAGTATCTCAGACAGTCTCCTGTGAGGCCAGAGCATATCAAGAGAAGAATGTGGGGGAAATGAAAGGGCTGAGATTCTGGTGGTTGAAAAATATGTAGCTTGTTTGAGTGGAGTCCTTTGGGGTTTTCTGGGACTCTCAGTACATACTGCACTTCACTCTCCAAAGCAAGAACCCAGGGTTTCTGAGGCTGAGAATTTTGGAGAAGGGAAACAGAGAAATCTTTTATCTCAGATAGACTGTGGGATGTTAAAATAAGGGCATGGTGTCTTTCTTCCAGAATAGACCGGATTTCAGGTTGTGGGAATACTTGATCTTTTCATCACCTTCCTCCTTCTTACCTGGAGGTCCAGGTGGAGATTTTGCTAGAGTTGCTAGTGAGAAGATTTCATGTTCAGAGCATCCAGATATGTAAGTTGTACATCCAGCATATGAGACTAGGGTCCATTGATCCTTAACTGTCGCTACTGAAAGCTGAGTTTTAAAAAATTTAGCAGTAAATTCCATCCCAAACTCATGAAGTTTTTTTGGCTGAAATGCATACTTACTTTATAAGGGCCAATAATAAACAGAAGCTTTTCCAGAAAGGAAGTCTAAATAGATGAGGTGAAATAAACAAGACATTCCCTGGGGTTCTCCTTAGGAACAGTTCACTTTATTACATCTACACACAATGAGATGCCTTGGGACATTTTGTAAACATTTTTGTAACCTAAGAATGAATTCTATGAATCTGCTCTAATTTCCAATCTAAAGCAGATACAGACACATTTTAGTTTAAATCCTCAGAAAAAGTAGAAATTTGCACCCACCTTCTATTTATCTATTAAAATTATTGTTCATGTGAGGATGCAGTAGCCTCTATTACAGCAATGTTAGCTTGTTTCAAATAAGGACAAGTGTGAGAACATTTCTGTAAAAATCAAGTATTTAAATCATATACCAGATACAAGAAAAGATCCATATTTTTTGGGAGAACACTAGATTGAAGCTATTCAATGTTTAATTTTTCTCATCTTTCTTTTTTGGCTGATTTTTCTTTATTCAAATTAGTGTTCCATGAATTTTTTTTTTTTTTGCCTGTTCCCAAGAAAGGTGACCCAAAGGAATGAGGAAATCAATGAATATCACATGCAAGTAAAACTTTGCTAAAGATAATTCAAAAACAGGAGGGTGCTTTCCCTAGAGAAGGACATCATGCTTGGTAAAGTGGAGGGTCAGTGAAAAATTGATAGATTGGTTCAGTGGTGGCAGCAATGGTTGCCTGAGGATGACAGCATCATTATGCTTGAGGAAGGCACAGGACTGGGCAGCATTTCATTCTGTTGTGTATAGGGTCACTATGAGTTGTAACTGACTAAATGACACCTAACAATTACAACAATATTATAGAAACATAAACTGAAAGTCATAGACATTAAGAGGCTCATCTAATGTCAAACTTAATTGACCTAAGTTGGGTGTATTACCTTGGTCTCATCTTAAAATTCTCTTTCTTTCCATTATACCACTGTTCAATATGCACCCTGTGAAAGAAGGGTAGTATTTGTCTTGTTTACATCTTCATAATTCTAAAGGATACAAAACTTAGTATTTATGGAATCAAGAATGCAACTATAATTTTCATAAAGCAGATTTTATAGAAAGTGCAATAAGAAGTAGCCAGAAACACAAAGAGAACATTTAAATATAAATTTCCCAATTTAAGATTGATGAAATGAAAAAAAAAAAAAAATCTTTCAAGAATAAAGTAGGTTTACAAGTGTAATCAATAATGCAGAACATATTCTCCAGAAACCTAGGGTGGCTTTGGAACTTTCCTGTTTATGGACTCTTCTGAAAACTACTGCTGCTACACTATCCTTTTTTTAAATTTTTGGTTCAATGCTGGCTGTGTTTTGTTGTGATGCTGGAAGCTATACTACCCGTATTTTAAATATCTACAATGTCACCCATATGAAGAGATTTCAGGGGAGCTACCAGAATAAGACAGATTAGAAAGAAGGAGCGGCAGACCATTTATAAAGGGTTAGCCACTGAACACCTTCTGAAGAGCAGCAGAACATTGTCAGATATTGTGCTGGAAGATTAGCTCCTTAGGTTCAAAGTCACTCAAAATATGACTGGGAAAGAGCTGCATCATCAAAGTAGAGTTCACCTTGATGACATAGATGGATTTAAAGTTTCGGGATCTTCATTTGCTTATGGGCACAACTCAAAATGAGAGCAAACATCCATTAATAATCAGAACATAAGATGTACAATGTAGGACTCTAGGAAAATTGGAAGTTGTCAAAAATGAAATAGAGTGCATAAAGATTGATGAACTAGGCATTGGTGATCTGAAATGCTCTTGCATTGGCCATTTGAAATCAG